GAAGAAGAAGAAGAAGAAGAAGAAGAAGAAGAAGCAGCAGCAGCAGCAGCAGCAGCAGCAGCAGCAGCAGCAGCAGCAGCAGCAGCAGCAGCAGCAGCAGCAGCAGCAGCAGCAGCAGCAGCAGCAGCAGAAGCAGCAGCAGCAGCAGCAGCAGCGTCAACGAACACACACGAAGACAACAATCGCGAAACGAGAAGCTTGTTTTCGAGCAGTCCTAATGTAAAATGTGTGAAACATCTTTCTCGTTGGGTCTCCAGGAGCGCATGCAGCGTTTGCAGGAGCTCACGGATTTCACAGGGAGTTGTCAAGCTGAACTGAAGGGTTTGTTTGAGGGGCTAGGATGGAGTCAGGAATCAGATTTACATGCAGTCCAGGTAGAGAAACAACCGCCACACACATAAAACTATTTGAGAATTGCTTATTTAGCAGTGAATGAATTACTGTAAATTTCTTATAAACTAATATGAAGTCTCCTTCATAGTGGGAGAGTCTTAGCGATTTTTTGTTTTATATATATATATTACAGTGGTTTATGATACAGTGTAATTGTACACTGATTAGATCACTGAATGTGGTGATCGCTGGAATTTCGTTTGTTTTACTTTTTGTTTGATCAAAATTACCATATTCACTAACTACACGTAAAACCACCTGTCTTTAAGTCTAAATATTTCATATAGATTAAAAGGTATAGTCTAAATCCCTAAGATAGTTGGCGCCTACTTTACCTCTCTTATGCTTTTTAAAGTTTGAAATCCCTGTATTATATTCTGGTTTGACAGATGGAAGTGTGTCCATACGATCCAAACCACACAGTACCGAGGGACAGGATGGAGAAACACAAAGCCTCCTGTGAGCTCAGTAAGCTGGGATACTCCAAAGAGGAACAGGTAAATAAGGATCCACATAAATGCCAGTGACAGCAAAAGGTCTTGTGATTTACTTGATCCTAATATCATATCAGACGATATGAACATGAGATTTCAAAGTAGTTTTTTTTCCCCTGCCATTTGTTTCCAGGCTGAAATGTTGGATCCTTCAGTGTACTATGAGAAAGCTAACATTCCTTCCATTACCATGGGTGAGTTTTTTGACACTTTTCCTTGTAATAAGGTTTGTGTGATCCTAAATTTGAAACTTTCAAAAAGCTTTGCAATCCTGTGTGCAGTTGTGTGATGGAAACTTATATCGCTTACAGACAAAGATACATTTCATCAAGTGATTCTGCAGACCCGGGAAAATGCCCCTCACATGAGATCTACAGGACTTCACACACATAGTAAGTTTTAAGATCCTCTTTCTAGACAGTGATTGGGTCATTTCAGCATTTATCAGGATAACAAGAAAATGTGTGCCAGAATGTGTGTATCAATGATATCCATGTCTTTATTTAATTGTTCCAAATGTTTTCAACATTTATATGTGTTCTTTGTTTTTTTCCAGTAACAGGGGTGAGTATTAAAGGAAGTCTGGTCTAGACAAATTTCCACTCATACTTGTTGTATCCTTTGGCTCAATATCCTTTTTAAGGCTTTGTCCTTAATATTATTTCATAAAAGATTTTATCTTGCACATTAGTTGCACACATTCATAATAGACATAAGAAAAATATCCAAAGAAAAAAAATCCAGAAACCTCAAGGTCAATTTGTCCCATTATGTGTTGGGACTGTCTTGTCCCTCTCACCGGTTCTGCACTGCATTTACTTTTTGCAGACTGGTCAATTAAAATTGTATTTGGAAACACATTTTTCAAATAAATACTTTGATAATAAATTTTTAGTTCCAATGTGTTTTATTCCAACTATTTTTACTAATAATTGTGATTTTGTGTCAAATCTTTTCATTTTGCAGGTGACACATCTTCAGATCTCCCTGACATACCTCAGAATCATAAGCGGGCATTATGTGAATTCACTGTGGCAGACCGATTGGCCATCTATGATCATGTGATACAAGAAGCCAGTCAGCAGAGTGCAAAGAAAGAATCCAACAATGAGGATCTTTATGTAGATCTTGTTGCAAAGCTTAAAAAAGGTACTTGAATTGCACTCACAAGACCACACATTAGCCCTCACTTATGTGTGTGTTAGAGTCCTTGGATTGTTTTAGTCTTATTCAACTATTTGTTTCTGTGCTTGATTTTCAAGGGCCTTTTTTACTAAGGGGATGCAATGTGATTTTGATTTATTTATTTTAAATGCTTCAAGTGTAAGCATTTCATATAAATACATTCTCAATCCAATTATGGCAGTTACCTTAGCATGTTCAGCAAATACATACTGTCTGTAAAGATCTTATAACAGTAATCTTGGGACTGGGAAACATTTTAAATACTTTGCTGTGGCTCACTGAAACCAGATGTGGAGCTTCACAAGACCCATTCAGTCCTAAGGCAGAGCTGCACCATGGGGCCCACTGAGCCCTGAGGTGGAGCTGCATCACAAGGCCCAGCTACAGCTAATTTGCATATAAACTAAGTTGCTCCAAAATTGGAGGAAATCTCATGAATGCCTCCACTTTCAAGGGCTTCGGTACCTAGTTCAATTCAATTCAAGTTTATTTGTATAGCGCTTTTCACGATACAAATCGTTGCAAAGCAACTTTACAGAAAATTAAGTTTCTACAATATATTTAGTAGTAGCTTATCAGTGGTGACTGTCAGTTAATGTACATATGGCAGAAATGTACGGAAAATCAATTAAAGACGTAATCAAACGTCCATCCATCTATTCATTTTTTGACCTCCCATACATATAATCTTACTATACTGAGTACCAATTAGTTGATTGTACCTGATTGATATAAGTAAAGAATGATGTTTTGTTTGAAATGCATTCTCAATAAGAGGAACAGAGCGGGCCAAAGTCTCATCTGGAGGTCTTGGCTGAGATGAGGGACTACAGGAGGCGCCGACAGTCTTACAGAGCGAAAAATGTTCACATCACCAAGAAGTCTTACACTGAGGTCTGTGAATTGTGTTAATCTTATCCACTTATCCACCCACAAAACACTATTTATGTCTCATGTCATTACATTTGTTCTCACTGTTGGTTTATTGCGTATTGTATTTAAATGGTCTCCATACTGTGGATGGCTTGAGAGCCAAAGAGAATATTCTGCATAATTGTATTCATTTTCCTACCTTTTCCAGGTAATTCGGGAGGTGATTGACATCCACTCTGGAGAACTAGGCAGGATTTGGCAGGAAGTGAAGGATGATGAGTTCAAAGCATCACAGCAGTCATGCCACAGGTCACATGTCTAATTTCAGTGCAGTAACTCTCTTTTCTCCCTGACAGAAGCAGCACAGAGTGACTAATATTGATTTTATCTTGGTTTTTGGTTGCAGAGGGGCATCTGAGAAAGGCCGCTCCGCATCTGTTGAGTCACGTGAGTCTCGTGTCAGCTCCCGAGACGAGCATGGGCACAAACGGCACCGCAAACACAGTCGAAGTCGCAGTCGAGGGAGGAAAAATAAGTGTAGGAGGTAAGGCCATGAAACACTGATCTTAACAAGACCTTAGTAAGAAATATTTTGTATATTTTCATCAGAAACTAATTTGAGTTAGGTTCGAGTTAGCGTGAACAAACTTTTATATTGTTGTTACTAACACATGATAGTGTCGTTTCTTAATTTTACACTCAAATATCTTACTACGCTCATATCATTGGCAAGATAATATTGATACTTTGTGGTTATATAATTTTACGACCGTTTGTGATGGGCTGTCTATATGGTTTTCTCCTTTTATTTTGTCCTCAGAGATTCACACTCTCCAGATATGGAGAGACATCATAAGAAAAAGAAGAAGAAAAATAAGTCTTGATGTCTATTCTGAGTTTGTTTCCTTTTGTGTTTTTAGGTTTTGTTTTTGTGTGTGTGGATGGTATGCTACAATAAAATTTGACTCAAATGTTACAAAGATTTGATTATGTGCTTTTCTTGCATTATTTAACATACATGCCCTGATAGTTTTATGAACATCATCACCATTCAAAGGTTTGGGATTGGTAAGATTTTTTTAAAGATTTTGAAAGGAGTCTCTTAAGCTCACCATGGCTGCATTTATTTGTTCAAAATACAGTAAAAACAGCAGTATTGCAAAATATTATTACAATTTAAAATAACTTTTGACTATTTTAATATATATATTTTTAAATGTTATTTATTCCTGTGATAAGCTGAATTTTCAGCAGCCATTATTCCAGTCTTCAGTGTCACATGATCCTTCAGAAATCATTCTAATATGCTAAAAAAAAAGTCTTACTGACATTATATTTTGGAACTGTATGTCATACTAGTTCAAGGTATCCGTATAATACAGAGAGACGTACATGTTTACTAAGTTATTGCACATTCTTTTTTTCTTGCTGTTTTAACCTGTTTTTTTATGCAACCTTTAACAGTTCATTGGATATGTCCATCCCTACTTTCTGTTGCTAAGAGAGAGAACTAACTAAAATGGATTTCGAGAAATCTGTTACATCAATGGCACATTTTTCCAAGGAGGTCAAAAGGTCATCACAAAGTCATAGCTTGCATTTCAGGTTTTCTTTAGCCTTCACTGATTATAATAGTGAACCATGTATATTACAGAAAAAAGTTGAACGTAATAAATTATAATTAAACATTTTTTAAATAAAAATATTGTTGAAGTAAAGAATAGTGACATATCTGATAGGAATATTATTTTTACAGTGCCTTTATTCTTCACTACTCTCTGTCCAGTGGAGGAGTGTGTTTGTTTGGTGAAGCCTCAGATATGTCTCACCCAGCTGAGGAGAAGTGGGAGCCTGGGAGATTCTGGTGAGGGACCAGGAGGTCTGTTCATCTGTCTCAGCACAGGGGGACCAGCATTGCATGCAAGCAGGGAGAATGCTTTGAGGACCACTGCAGCCCCTCGTTGAAAGAGTGCTGCCTGCGCTTATCCGAGGGCTCAGAGCTCCGTGTCCATACAGCGCCTGGAAACCTGAGCGGGAGGCCGCTGGCCATGGGAGCCTCCAGGGTGAAGGTAAGATGCAGGATGGGTAACTAGAATTGAAGGGGAATTCAGAAGGGAATTATATTTGTTTCATATATGCAAAGCCGGAATCGACTCAACTTTGTTCATGCAGTTGCTCAGATGGTTTGCTTTGGCCATGTGCAGTGAACCATCATGTAAAGTGTTATCAGATTTGTGTGGGTTGCTTTCAAGAATGGTCTTATTACAAATTCATTTAATTTATGTTTTCAACTATTTCAAATGTTTGTTATAATCTTACATTTAGGCATGGTGTGCTTATTTTTATGTAAGACTGTCAAATAGTACCAAGTGCATAGTAAAGATATTACCAGCTACATAAATAATTTGACATGTTTTTATGAGCCTTTCACAGAATTTATAGTTTGTTTTATATTACTTAATGTGTGCTGTCAACGACCCTTTTATTTTGGTTACTTGACCCTTATAAGTCATGTTACATAAACACATTTTTTTTAATTTGTGTTTATGTAATTATTAAGCACTTGTAAAAAAAATCTCATATGTGAGTTAAACTAGCCAGATTTTAATACAATTATAATTTACAAGAGCCTCTAAAGGCCAATTCCAGATCTGAAGCTGGCGGAGAAGATGGAATCGTGTGTATTGCTCATGCTGCACCTCAGTGTCCCAGAGGACCTGTGGGTTGGTGAGGAACCCAATGCTGTGGTTGTATGAGCCTTTAGCTCCACCCCTCAGACTGCAAGGTTGTGGAGAATTAAAAGAAATGTGACTGATATACAAGCTGTATGATGTTCTCTGTGTTCCCTTGGTCTTTATTTATTTATTTAATTTTATTTTTTTGCAGTTCACTTAAAATAGTCCTGCCGTGTAACAAATACATTTTTAAAAGAGCAAATTTGAGGTCATGTGAACTGTATGTACAGTACATTCAAAAGTTTGAGGTTGGTAATATTTTTTGAAAGAAGTGTTTAATGTTCACCAAGGCTGCATTTATCTGATCATTTATCTGATATTGTGAAATATGATTACAATTTATATAACTGTTTGCTACTTTAATGTGTTTTAAAAATGTATTCCTGCAATACCAAAGCTTAATTTTAATTAACCCTTACTCCAGTCTTCAGTGTCATGTGCTACATGATCCTTTAGAAATCATTTTAATATGCTTATTTGGTGTTGAAAGGACATATTTCTTATTATAATTTAATTAATAATTTGAATTTAATTAATAATTTAATAATAATAATTTATGCATTTAGCAGACACTTTTATCCAAAGCAACTTACAGTGCATTCAGGCTATACATTTTTTTACCAGTAGCCTGTGTGTGTTCACTGGGAATCGAACCCATGACCATCTGCTAACGCAATGCTCTACCACTGAGCCACAGGAACATTATTTATTATGACAGTTAAATGCTAATTTTTCCCCTCAAGATTCTTTGATGAACAGAAAGTTATATTATAATAACAGCATTTTTTTAAATAGATTTTTTTAGCATTATACATTTTACTGACCTCAAATTTTTTGAAAGGTAGTTAGAAACTTCCCTTTTCTCTTTTTATTTATTTTTTGTTTGTTTGTTTGTTTTTTTGCCTGTAACTTAATCATGATAGATATTTGCCATTGAACAAGTAATCTGAAAAGTCAGCTGATTTTTTACATAAGCATTTTGTATTTGTTGGAAAGGTCAAAGGTCACATGCTGTGTAAAGTGTACTGTATGATGAACATGCAGTACTGTTGTCTCAGAGAGAGGGAGATTTTACAGACTGCATTAAGGGAGAAAAGAAAACTTTCAGCAGCCTGAGTCTGTAATGCAGTAACTTGATGAGATTCACTTGGCTTTAATAAAATACTGATTATATTGTTAATGTAAAAATATAAAATAATCTTAATAAAGTAATGTTTATTTAACCAAAAAAAAAAAATGTTACTGGGACATGAATTTACATGTGATTTAAAAAAAAAAATGCCGCGGACTGTGCCTCCTCATTTTAGAACACCACTGCACACCACTGGAATATATGAATATTGTTTTCCTATTAGGAGCTTGAATAGTGTTGCTGTTGTTTTAACCTAGCCCAGTACTGTGATGGAACTAATAACAAAACAGTAGCTGATTCAGAAGCGCCAGATTGTCATAGCAAAGTCAGAATGACCTCCTCTCCTAGGTTACTGGGACATGAATTTACATGTGATTTTTAAAAAAAAATGCCGCCTCATTTCAGAACACCACTGATTTACATGTATGTTCTTGGCTGGCTATTTTACAAAAATTTTATTTAATACAAAGTGCACAAAGACATAAGCCCACTGTATAAATGTCAATAACCCGCAGAGATAGCAGTTTCATGCCTGTACTTCTCTGGTATTTTTGTGAGGTGGTTTTCTTGGGATTCTTGTACAAACGCTTCTCAGCAATGTGCTGCTGTGTTTAATAATGACCACTAGAGGGAAATTTACATGCGGCAACATTCTTTAAGCTCTTACTAAAATGCCACCAATTCCTGTTCATGTTTATTCGGGGGTCGTATATAAAATGTTTTCTCTCAGCCGTTTCCCCCCATTCTTAATAAACCATTCTGTCAACATGGTTTAATTACTATCATTATGTGAAAAATCTTATTATTTCTCCCATAGTAAAAAAAAAAAGAAGTAGCCCACATTTTGGTTTCATTGTAGCCAAATGATGGTTTTGAAAATCTAGGCATGGTTGATAATTTGGTCTTGATTTATGTAGATCATTCAAAGTTTTATTTATTCATTCATTTATTATATCAGCTAGAACATGTTCCATGACCTCATTAGTGACGCTTGATCTAATCACATGAGGAAGTGCGAAACATGGAAGGGGGTTAATTTAAGCACAGTCTGAAAAAAACTACAACATCATCTTCAGTTACTGCATATTTATTTGTTCCAGCAAAAGAACAAGGAACTGAAGAAATGTAATATAATATATATTTTTTTTATTTCTTTTAACAAAGTGGAAAAAACCCACTTGTAAATAATGTGATAGTGGTAAGGAAAAACCCAGTTTAAAAAAAGAATTTTTTTGAGAAACCACACCATAAAGGGGAGACCCCTTCCACTGGCCCAGTTGGTAAAATAACAACTAAAACGACAGCCAATCGCTGTTCTTTATGTAAACAAATTATCAGTATCTCTAATACAATTTTGTGAATCCATTTGCAACACTGCATTTCATTTTTTCAGAACTTTACCTGACAGATGAAGAGTTTTCACCACGAAGTGTTACTGTAATAATTTCCTCTGCATGTGTTTGATGGAGTTTGTTTTGTGCTGATATCAGGTGTGGGCTGTCACTCAGCTCTGTGTTCCTGCTGTGTGTCCTGCCCTCTCAGGCCCAGCATGATTATTCTGGTTTACAATCAGGTGAGACTATCACATCTCCAACATGTTAACATTTGTTAGATAATAAAACATTAAAATGGCCGATTTACATTTTTAATTAGCCTTTTCCCCCTCTCTTTTACAATCACAGGAGAAGAACACATGTATGAAGGCTCCTTAGTTGATCGATATGATGAACAATCTGGATACACTCACAGTGGTAACAGATGTCACTGTTACTACTACTACTACCACCAAAAAATTTATTAAAAAAATAGATACCCGCAAAATGGAACCTAGTTGTGCTGTATCTATTGTCATATCCCTTACCATGCTAAAATCTTCCAAGAGTTCTCATGATAGAAATATATATATATATATATTTCATAATTGTGAATCACACAATTTGTGTGTCAAACTTGTACATCATTGTAGTATTTTATTACTATATTTAATTTATGCTTAATGATACTACACAAAATATGAATTTTCTTTATACAATACAAATATAGTTTAATTAAAAAGTAAAATAAGATAAAATAAATATTTATTTATTCTTCAATAGATTCACACATTTCTACACATACATTTTTCTCTTTTATTTTATCACCGAACAACACTTGTTTTTCACTTTGTATTTTTATATTATATTATATTATATTTAAATAATTTTTCCAAGGTTTGTTTTTACCTGTTTTTTCTTTTAGACTATTAGTCACCATGTCTTTAATATCAGTATATCCAGTCAGGATCAATGGGCATCTCAGTGTTTTTTTTAGCTGAGAGACGAGCACTCAGCATCTGGCTTTGACCCCTATGTGCCTGCAGCCACTGTGGTCACTATGATCACCGAGGAAACATACCCGTATGCCACAGCCGTGGAGTCGTTTGATTATGCCAAAGAGGATAAAACCTTGATAACACAGGTCCCATATGGAGGAGATGCTGAGCTGGGACTGGAAGGACCCACCGAATGTGACTGTGAAGCAGGAGAGCCCGGATTTGGAGGCTTCGCTGGACCCAAGGTTGATTATTGCCATGCCATGCCTTTGCATTATGTAAAGTTTGATTTCTTTTAAAGTTTAATGCATTCTTCAGTTTGATTGTTGCATTTTATGTTTGTTCATAGGGTTCTAAGGGTCTTCAAGGCAAACAGGGTTTTCCTGGGGTTCAAGGAAGGGAGGTAAGAGCAAAACATATTTAATGTTCATGGTGTTAAACAGCCAATGCAAAAGTTCACAAGATCAAAATGACTGTTACTTTATTGGGGTTACAAAGGAACCAAAGGAGTGAGAGGAAGAGGAGGAGACACCGGCCCTGAGGTGAGTGACAGGAAACACTCGTTAAACTTGAGCATCCTGTTCAGACTACCAGGACTTTTCTTGTTCACCTTACTAGCCTTACTTGCCTTCTGTTTAGGGCGACTCTGGGCCTGATGGAGAGGATGGTGCATCTGGTTTCTCTGGTGCAATTGTGAGTCAAGAATTTAGGAAAACTTTACTATTACCTATATGATTTTGTGTTTAATAGCTAATTCCCGGAAAAGTCTTATATGCGGTTTTCTTACTCTTCTTTATAGGGCCTTCCCGGGTTACCAGGGGACCCTGGAGAAACTGGCCAACCTGGATTAAAGGTAATGGTCTCACCAACAACAACAACAAAAAGTTCTGAGTGGAAAAGTGTGGATCTTGGTTTACTAGCAGAGCTATATGGTGTTATTTTATATGTGTATAAAGATTATCCAGAATTATGTTCAATGATATTTAACATTAGACATTATGGCTTGCATTCATAATTGTGATTGAAACTGAATTTATTTGTGTCATGCAGGGTGATTTCGGAATAGAAGGCTCGCATGGAGGAGTGGGTCTCCCTGGAAAGACTGTGAGCAAAATAGCATCTTCAGTTACACATATCACCAGCAGCGTTTCCTCTCCACATTACTTTGAATGTTTTTCATTCCATCTATTTCAATCACGATCACATACAGTAGCTGAGATGTTCTATACTGAACAAAATTATAAGCGCAACACTTTTGTTTTTGCCCCCATTTTTCATTAGCTGAACTCAATGATCTAAGACTTTTTCTATGTACACAAAAGGCCTATTTCTCTCAAATATTGTTCACAAATCTGTCTAAATCTGTTAGTGAGCACTTCTCCTTTGCCGAGATAATCCATCCACCTCACAGGTGTGGCATATCAAGATGCTGATTAGACAGCATGATTATTGCACAGGTGTGCCTTAGGCTGACCACAATAAAAGGCCACTCTAAAATGTGCAGTTCCCTTTCGATACTTCACTCGTACTGCGTCTTGCTTAAGACGCATATGGTGGATATTGGCAGGAACATATATCCCAAACATGCTCAATGGGTGACATTTCCGGTGAGTATGCTGGCCATGCAAGAACTGGGATGTTTTCAGCTTCCAGGAATTGTGTACAGATCCTTGCAACATGGGGCCGTGCATTATCATGCTGCAACATGAGGTGATGGTCGTGGATGAATGGCACAACAATGGGCGAGTGGCCTTTTATTGTGGCCAGCCTAAGGCACACCTGTGCAATGATCATGCTGTCTAATCAGCATCTTGCTATGCCACACCTGTGAGGTGGATGGATTATCTCGGCAAAGGAGAAGTGCTCACTAACACAGATTTAGACAGATTTGTGAACAATATTTGAGAGAAATAGGCCTTTTGTGTACATAGAAAAAGTCTTAGATCTTTGAGCTCAGCTCATGAAAAATGGGGGCAAAAACAAAAGTGTTGTGTTTATAATTTTGTTCAGTGTAGATTCCATCTGAGAATTCAAAGCAACATCTGTGCAGTCATGCTCCAACTCCTCTAGTTATCATATAATAGATTCCTGACAAAATTTCTGATTTGTCAATGAAATTAATCTAAGGTAATATTTTTCTGACTGACTACAGGGTCCTGTTGGCCCAAAAGGTAAACCTGGAAAACCAGACGTTAAAGGTATTAAGGTAAGTTACTTCACTCTACAAATGTTTACAATTGTTGTGTGGTGTACTTGCTGAAATGTAATGACCAGAAGGTTAAAGTTTTAAGGTTTTAATACTTAATTTATTTATTTATTTTTATACTGATTTCAGCTACCAATAAGAGTGAAGATATCAACATTGTGCCCTTGAGCAAGACGCTTAACCCAGTGTTTGCCTTCAAGGGGACTGTCCCTTCAATAAGCTTCTGCTAAATAACTATTAAATAAACATTTATTTTTATATGACATTCACTGAAAAAATAGATATAAAATATCTGCATAAATATCTGTGTTTTAATGTCAAATACTTCCCCATTCTGATTAAGTGTCAGTGTCACGAGTTTCATTTCCCATTGGCATGTGTCAGGGAGTTTTTATGTTTGTTTTATTTTGTCTGTTTTTTTTCCTTCTATTTCTTGTAATTAATATATCATCTGTGGAACTATGTGGGTAGTGGTAGTTGATGTGACCTTTCAAGTGGAGACAGCAGTGACCTGCAGTCTGATTATACATGTGTTTTTATGAACCAAGATTATTTGCTATCATTCATTTTGTCACACTGCAGGACTATTTAAAGGGATAGTTCACATAACAATGAAATTCTGTCATAATTTACAAACCCTCAAGATTTTCTGCTGAACACAAAAGAAGATATTTTGAAGAATGTGGGTAACTGAACACTCCTTTGACTTCCATAATATGGAAAAAATAACAATGGAAGTCAGTTTGGTTTGGTAGAAGAAAGAAATTCATATAGGTTTGCAACAACTTGAGGGTGCATAAATAATGACAGAATGTAATGACAGAAGTGAATTGCAAACAAGCTGAAAGTGAAAACCCCACACCAGTTACAGCATTTTCTGTAAAACATTAAAAAAAATTATCCTAAATATTTATGTTTAATGGAGAAGTCCATCTTAATTGTCAGCTTCTCATGTAAATTATCATGTAACTAACATTTCTAGTTGAGTCTTGATTTGTCCAGACTTGTCTTGAAATTTTGAATTTAAAAAGTACTGAGAAATCTCCCCATCTCTCAAAAGGGCTTCACTGGCAAAACAGGAGAACAAGGTCCTGAGGGACGACAGGGACAGAAGGTTGGCACCAAGACTTACATGCATAACTAATTATTAGTTTGACAAACTTTATTACATCTACTGCTGTTGACGTTTTCTCTTTGCATAATCAGGGTCAGACAGGAGCACCTGGATTCCCAGGAGACCATGGAGAGCAGGGTTACTTGGTGATAAATCACTCAGAAGATTTCTATTTCTCTTTCTCATATTGTACCATCAGGAAAATCCCTGTAATAATCTCACTATAATACTATATTTTTCACCTGTCGTGCTATCAGGGTTATCCAGGAGTTCCAGGAGACCGTGGGGTGACGGGACCAAAGATCTGTTCTCATAAAATCACTTATTGTTGTTATCAGTAACTAAAATTGAGAGATTGGCACAGTGGATCACCTTTCCTCATAATGTTCTACAAACACATAATATTTTACATATTTCCAACTAAAAGCTTTGCCTTGAATCAGCACTTGGTGACTAACTGGTGACTAAGTTTTGGTAGGCAAATTTCTCTTTCCATTTGCCATCATCTTCAGGGTGCTAAAGGTACAGGTGGCTTGCCTGGGAGTGATGGAGAGCCGGGAGAGGATGCGAGTAGCAAGCTGTTTTTGATGCATGTGTTATTATTCAGGAAAAAAGACTTCCTGAAGTACTGTGTTTCTGGGCGGAAAAAAAGTTTATATATTTTTTAGGGTCCTCTGGGTGTTCCAGGAGTTGTAGGGGTGCCTGGGCCTTTTGGACCTAAGGTAAGAGAAAATACAAGAAAATTCAATTTCAGCCTTTCTACTTCAAAATGTCATGTTTAATTCAGTGTGTTACTTACAAATTGTTTTATAATTATTTGTGAATTTACTATCAATTTCCAAGTGAAAACGGTTTCAAAGGAATTGTTTTTTCAAAATTTGCAAAAAGTTTTCCCTCTTTCTCTCTTCCTCTTTTTTTGCAGGGTTTGAAAGGTGATAGTGGTGTGAGGGGGCGACCTGGAAGAGTAGGAACTGTGGTAAGCTATGAATTTGGCCCTTTAGGGGGATATTACACTTCCCTATCATTTCCAATGTGCGTGACACACTTGTGATACAGTGTGAAGCCAGACAACATTGATCAGTTGACTGACGTGTGACTTCTTTTTTTTTTTTTAGATCAACAAAAGCCATATTATTACTCTTTGGCGAGGCACCACATTATTTGTTAGGTTGGAAATCACCAGAAATCTATCTACACAGCAAAATCCCCAGAGTTAAATCAACTCTGCTCAGAGTACATATTGTCCCAATCTACTTTTTTTCCTTCTATTTCTTGTAATTAATATATCATCTGTGGAACTATGTGGGTAGTGGTAGTTGATATGACCTTTCAAGTGGAGACAGCAGTGACCTGCAGTCTGATTATACATGTGTTTTTATGAACCAAGATTATTTGCTATCATTCATTTTGTCACACTGCAGGACTATTTAAAGGGATAGTTCACATAACAATGAAATTCTGTCATAATTTACAAACCCTCAAGATTTTCTGCTGAACACAAAAGAAGATATTTTGAAGAATGTGGGTAACTGAACACTCCTTTGACTTCCATAATATGGAAAAAATAACAATGGAAGTCAGTTTGGTTTGGTAGAAGAAAGAAATTCATATAGGTTTGCAACAACTTGAGGGTGCATAAATAATGACAGAATGTAATGACAGAAGTGAATTGCAAACAAGCTGAAAGTGAAAACCCCACACCAGTTACAGCATTTTCTGTAAAACATTAAAAAAAATTATCCTAAATATTTATGTTTAATGGAGAAGTCCATCTTAATTGTCAGCTTCTCATGTAAATTATCATGTAACTAACATTTCTAGTTGAGTCTTGATTTGTCCAGACTTGTCTTGAAATTTTGAATTTAAAAAGTACTGAGAAATCTCCCCATCTCTCAAAAGGGCTTCACTGGCAAAACAGGAGAACAAGGTCCTGAGGGACGACAGGGACAGAAGGTTGGCACCAAGACTTACATGCATAACTAATTATTAGTTTGACAAACTTTATTACATCTACTGCTGTTGACGTTTTCTCTTTGCATAATCAGGGTCAGACAGGAGCACCTGGATTCCCAGGAGACCATGGAGAGCAGGGTTACTTGGTGATAAATCACTCAGAAGATTTCTATTTCTCTTTCTCATATTGTACCATCAGGAAAATCCCTGTAATAATCTCACTATAATACTATATTTTTCACCTGTCGTGCTATCAGGGTTATCCAGGAGTTCCAGGAGACCGTGGGGTGACGGGACCAAAGATCTGTTCTCATAAAATCACTTATTGTTGTTATCAGTAACTAAAATTGAGAGATTGGCACAGTGGATCACCTTTCCTCATAATGTTCTACAAACACATAATATTTTACATATTTCCAACTAAAAGCTTTGCCTTGAATCAGCACTTGGTGACTAACTGGTGACTAAGTTTTGGTAGGCAAATTTCTCTTTCCATTTGCCATCATCTTCAGGGTGCTAAAGGTACAGGTGGCTTGCCTGGGAGTGATGGAGAGCCGGGAGAGGATGCGAGTAGCAAGCTGTTTTTGATGCATGTGTTATTATTCAGGAAAAAAGACTTCCTGAAGTACTGTGTTTCTGGGCGGAAAAAAAGTTTATATATTTTTTAGGGTCCTCTGGGTGTTCCAGGAGTTGTAGGGGTGCCTGGGCCTTTTGGACCTAAGGTAAGAGAAAATACAAGAAAATTCAATTTCAGCCTTTCTACTTCAAAATGTCATGTTTAATTCAGTGTGTTACTTACAAATTGTTTTATAATTATTTGTGAATTTACTATCAATTTCCAAGTGAAAACGGTTTCAAAGGAATTGTTTTTTCAAAATTTGCAAAAAGTTTTCCCTCTTTCTCTCTTCCTCTTTTTTTGCAGGGTTTGAAAGGTGATAGTGGTGTGAGGGGGCGACCTGGAAGAGTAGGAACTGTGGTAAGCTATGAATTTGGCCCTTTAGGGGGATATTACACTTCCCTATCATTTCCAATGTGCGTGACACACTTGTGATACAGTGTGAAGCCAGACAACATTGATCAGTTGACTGACGTGTGACTTCTTTTTTTTTTTTTAGATCAACAAAAGCCATATTATTACTCTTTGGCGAGGCACCACATTATTTGTTAGGTTGGAAATCACCAGAAATCTATCTACACAGCAAAATCCCCAGAGTTAAATCAACTCTGCTCAGAGTACATATTGTCCCATTCTACAGACTGTTAAAGTAACACTGAAGCCGAGTTAAAGTTAATGGGATAATTAAGCGATTGATTAAGTAATGATTGAGCATTAGTAAAGAAAACCCGCTGTTAACAATGTTGAAGATGAACAACTACTGCTCATGCTTTTAGACATGAAAACTTACCACACAATCCTCAACAGTGGTAACTCTGCTTCAGTGTTACTTTAACACTCTGTAGATTGGGACAATATGTACTCTGAGCAGAGTTGATTTAACTCTGGGGATTTTGCTGTGTACCAGTTCTAATTGTGTTTTTTTAATATTATTCCAGAGGGGAATGTCCCTAAATGTTGGGGATTTACCAGACTGTACCAGACCCAAGACTGAAAGTGAAACTACAACTTCTATTTTTAGCTACGGCGGTTTCACTGCACTTAACATATTTCCTGAAACAGCGTGTAGATGTTTACTTCTCAGATTAACCAGGTTTTCCCTTCATTTTTCCTCCTAAATAAAATGAGACTGTACTATACTATGCATAGCATAGTATAAACATAGCATAAACAGGTAGTTTAGTCTAAACTATAAAAGGCGATATAAAAGATTACTCATTTACATGTGACAAACACATAAATACTTAAAGCGGAACTGTAAACATTGTTTAATACTGTAAGATTTCCAATATCAAGAACATCTACTTAGACATTTTGTTTCTCCCTATTAACAAGTGCAGCAGGTTTGAGGTTTTACTTGACTTTTTTTTCATAGGGTCCACAAGGAGACAGTGGGGATGCAGGAGCTCCAGGGAAACCTGGACCAAAAGGCTTGCCTGGGCCAACAGTACGCAACTGATTTCAGTTTCTGAATAATTCATCGATTAATTAATCAAATGTCCTGTTTTTATTTAATTGATGAAGTAATTAAATGCTTAGTTTCACTGTTTGTTGATTTTCAAGTCTAACTGATGACACGATTAAAATGACACATAGAACAGCGATTATTTTATTTATTTATTTGTTTTTAATCCAAAATGATTATCAAATGTTCTGCTTTACAGGGTGCCAAAGGGGAAACAGGACCAGATGGTGAAAAGGTAATATCAAAAGCATATAATATCAGTATAATATTAGCCACAAACATTACATAAAATGATGCTATCACCATTAAAATTTTTGAATTATTTTTATTGAATTATTTTTTTCATGACTCTCTCAGGGGGCAGCAGGACGTAAAGGAGGGAAGGGTGCTAAAGGGGATAAGGTATGGCTGCTAGAATCTGAACTAGCCATCACAGTTTCTCTTCCTCTTTCCATTACACTAGTCATAGTTTTATTTTAACCACAATTTCGTCATCATTTCACTTCACAGGGAGACGCTGGATCTCGTGGTGACAAAGGGCAGGTTAGTCATCACTGTTGAGGTTAAACAATATTTTTGTCACAACCGTGGCACAGTGGTAGTCCACAAGCTCATGACGTACAACGACGCAGGTTTGAACCTGAGCTACATTGTTTCCTCATCTCGTCCTCAATCACTCCATTACTCCAGTCTTCAGTGTCACATGATTCTTCAGAAATCTTTATTTAATTTTTTTCCCCTTTGATGAATTGAAAGTTCAAATGAACACCATTTATTTGAAATAGTTTTTTTATATTTAAACACAATTTAAAAGGCTTTACTATCACTTTTGATCAATTTAATGTAGTAAAAAGTATAACAATTAAACAAAATAATAATAAATAAATAAAGTGGAACCATTTTTAATTCTGTAACTGTTGTTCATCACTTTAACTAACTGAGGTTTTTCTTATGTGATGTAGCGTGGGGTGAAGGGTCGTTTCGGTCGTGATGGGCTTCCTGGTGCTATTGGACCTCCAGGTCTTCCAGGTCCCAGAGGAGATGGAGGCCCTAGAGGAGACCAGGGAGTGAAAGGACAGAGTGGGCCGAAAGGAGAGCTAGGTGAACCTGTGCGTATCATCATGATTATTATGAGCAAGGACTTAATTTTGAGTATATGGAAGTGTTATAGGCCTGAATGCAGATAAATATTGATTTCTGTCATAAAATATATTGGTGCAACTCACTGCAGGGTCCAGGACTGACAGATGAGCAGATATTGCAGCTGTGTCAAGGTGTGGTCACCGCTCAGATCTCCCAGTATGTTTCATCTATACGTGCCAAATGCGTACAGGGCTGTCCAATCAACAACCGTACCCTCATCGGACCCCCAGGAGTCACAGGATCTCCTGGAAGTCCAGGAAAACCTGTGAGCTGATATATGAAGTTGCCACAAAACTGACATAAAAACTCGTTTACTTTTTTTAAATAACACACTGCATTTTATTCAGGGTAAAACAGGAAAGGCAGGTGCTAAAGGAGAAAGAGGCCCTCAAGGCATGAAAGGTGTAGAGGGCCAGAAGGGAGCTCCAGGGGACAGAGGTACTGCGCTGGCGTTACTATTAAAAGTGTTTGAACGAAAAGGGATAGTCCAGCCAAAAAATGAAAATTTAGTCATCACTTCCCCTGATGTCATTCCAAACCTGCATGACTTTCTGTCTTCTGTGGAACACACAAAAAATATATTTTGAAGAATATGTTGGTATTTGTTGTCCATACTATGGAAGTCAGTGGGACCCACAACTGTTTGGTTACCATCATTTTTCAAAATATCTTCTTTTGTGTTCCACTGAAGAAAGTCATATAGGTTTGAAATGACATGAGTGTGAGTAAATGGAGTAAATTCATTTGTAGGTGGACTATCCCTTTAACAAAAAAAGAAAAACAAAGAGTTTATGCATACAAATGAGCTCTCTGTGTTTTTCTAAAGGTGCTAAAGGTCTAAAAGGACAGAGAGGTGAACCTGGAAAAGGTCTACCAGGACATGATGGTCACCAAGGTCTCAGAGGTGGGATAATTGTATGTCTGCTATTTCAATAACTGGATTAGATGTAGTTAACTCTGGCTTATTTCTCCAAAAAGGACTGCCAGGCCATCCAGCAGAGCCAAAAGATGGAATTGATGGGCCGCGAGGACCCCGTGGGTTTTCCGGGCCTGTGGGTCAACCTGGCATGGCCGGCGATGCAGGAATACCTGGCATGTGCGAGGCACGAGACTGCAGCATTCATGCGCCTGTAGTGCGCAAAGAGATGGGATTGGTTAAAGGCCCTTTCAGCCAGGCCTGACAACAGGGACAAATGTGAGTGACCCAGGACAGGAGATAATCTCCAGCAGAGGCCATGAAAATAGAAGACATCACATACAGACAGACTGGAGCCAAGAACTGGAGATCAAGTCTCTTCAGATTTGTTTACCAATTTGAAGTCCAAAAATGAAACTATACAAACTATACCAGCACTTTTGGTTTCATTCATCGGCAATGTTTTGGTTTCATTATAAATACAGTACAGACATGTAAATAATTTTGCAAAGCATCTTAAATATACATGTGTTCTGAAATATCAATCTTTATTTTGATTCATCAGGCTGAATTAAAGATACATTTTTTTGTAAACTTTTACTGTGTTTGATGAATATAGTGTAACCACAAAAAAATTATGATCATTCAGGCCATCATACCTTTTTGAATAACTGTAAAATCCATTTAGAAAAATATTTTTCTATATAGTTTATATACATATACGTATATATATATAAAGGACAAAATGTATTTGTTACGGAAAAATTATTCATGTCAATAAACATGTAATCATTTATAGTGTACAAGAAAAGGAACTGTTTAAAAGTTTCAAAAACTCAAAGTAGTATTGGTACATATTTCTTGGCAGTGTGTTTGAGGTGATTCTTATGACCTTGTTTTATGCAGTGACCCCAAAGAGTATTTTAACACTTAGCCACAAATAAAATAATTTAAATGTATTTTCAGTATATATCAAAACAAGTGGATTTTATTTTAAAGAAATATAGCACAAGCACAATTTCAAAATACAAATAAAACTTTAATTTGAATATATTTATATAGGCTCTATGCATCAGGCCATAGACCCTATAGTTAAAGACCCTACAAAATCACTAAAACGTACATTCATCAGAGGTAGATATGAAGCAGAAAATTCAAAAACATTTATATTAATACAGTACTATACTTTAAGACATTAGCAGAGATACCGCCCTGAGTGGGCAGCACACAATCCGCCATGTTTATCTTAACGCTAGAGCATTTGAAAGCAGCATTCATCATTCAGCATTCAGCTGAGTCCTTACCCATCTTCAAGAAACGACTAAAAACACATCTGTTCCACCTTTATTTGACCCTCTAACTCTAACACTTTCTATTCTATTATAATTCTACTTTATCTATATTTATCTTTTTCATTTTTTTTTTCTTTATTTAAAAAAAAAAAAAAAACAACAAAAAACAAACACTAGCTTTCTATTTTTTCTATTCTATCTACTTGTTTTTCTTTGTTTGTGTGTGTGTGTGTATAATATGTATGTATGTATGTATGTATGTATGTATATATATATGTGTGTGTGTATATATATATATATATATGTATATATATACACCTTGCTACGTGTACTGCGTTAGGCTAACCGAGACTTGTCATTTGCACTTATATATTGTTGCTCTTTTGTTAGTTTTGACTGCTTTTATTGTCCTCATTTGTAAGTCGCTTTGGATAAAAGCGTCTGCTAAATGACTAAATGTAAATAAAAATGTAAATGTGTCTGCTTCCACTCAAAATAGGCATTTTCATAATGATATAATACATGATATGTGGGGTATTTTGAGCTGAAACGTAACAGACACATTCTGGGGACACCTGAGACTTATATTACATCTTGTAAAAAGGGGCTTAATATGTGCCCTTTAAATAGACTCTGCTGAACACTCTCTTCTTTATCCCATATCACACTGAGTGGCTATTGCTTCTGTTGTTTTTGTATGTATATCTAACACACAGCAGACACACCGCAATGGCTATGAGCACCAAGGTAACAGACAGGAAAAAACCTAAAAAAAAAAAAAAAAATTTTTTTGAGAAATCCTCTGAAATATTTCGGTACTTAACAGTATTATATATTTCTCTCACACACACACACGCAGTGTTTGTTTTGTATTACCAATGTGACCTCTGTTCACAGGGTTGATCAGAGATTGAGGGACTCTTTCGCCTAAAACGAAAGAAAGAAAATGTTTTAGCACTGGCTACCCAACAATAAACAATATATCACTGGTAGAAAATAAACTTACCATAAAAATGTACACGGTATTCAGTCAAATAATCCTTTAAAATAGATACAAATGTTGGTTAATGTTCAATTCAATGCTCATAAAAGTCATAAAAGACATGACCTGTGGTGCATGAGAAAACGACTCACTCTTGTGCATATTACAGCCAGGGTGATATTGACACAGTCAATCAGAACGATTCTCCCAAAGAACAACTCTTTGCATGGATTATGACACTCTGGGGTGAATTTAAGAAATGTTGCAATAGACTGAAGGATGAAAAAAGCATGAAAGTCCGTGAGCTGCAGCATATACAGGTGTATCTCAATAAATTAGAATGTCGTGGAAAAGTTCATTTATTTCAGTAATTCAACTCAAATTGTGAAACTCGTGTATTAAATAAATTCAATGCACACAGACTGAAGTAGTTTAAGTCTTTGGTTCTTTTAATTGTGATGATTTTGGCTCACATTTAACAAAAACTGTTCTGCACGTTTCTGTGATGGGTAAGTTAGGGGTAGACGTTGGGTTAGAAAATATAATTAAACTGATATAAAATCAGTGGAAGTGTATGCCCTCACTAAGAAACAAACGTACGTGTGTGTTTCTATAGTGTAAAGTGTAACGTTTATGAGACAGACAGCAAGGGCTACAAGGTTTCAGTTTAAAACTACACGCTCAGCAACAACATTACATAATGGGGGGAATCCCAAGTTTTGTCAAGTGAAAATTACTTTCTCTACCAAACATCTTTTTAAATTAACTGCATGTATATAACATTTAAAAAAGATTAAGATGCAATGTTAAAATTAAAAACCTTGAAAGACAGCGGAGAACTACCGCAACATTTTATTTTCTTACATTTTAGGCGAAAGAGTCCCGCAATAACACAAAAGAGACTAAATTACAACCTAGAAAAAGCTGGCAAAAACAAACAAATGACAAAACACACGGATAACAAAACGTGAATGTGAAAAGCCAGCATAACTACAAGCGCTCGCACTTAACGACAAAATAAACGTGCCGCTGCGTCATTATTATTTGAATAACACCAAGCCTCATGGCTACTACAATCAAGATATGTGAAGCGAGCAAACTGGAGATTTGGATAAAATATCTTACCAGGCACAACAAAAACCGATAGCGATAGAAAACGAATAAAAACATCTTTAATCCAGAGCATCGCGCTAACTCGTCTAGCTGAATTTCAGTGTTTACAAGTTTACCACCTATAGGCTTCCCTACTTCCCTACTGTGTATTGATGACATCAGTCACTCTTGCGTGCTCGTGCTAGGGAATTCCCCGCTTCCTCAAACCAGAAATACAAAGAGCAAGAGTCCTATAAATTCAACGCGTGGACATCAAGCTCCAGTCAGAACCATGCCTTACTTCTCGGAATTCATCGCCTGTCTTGTAATTTTAGGTAAGACTCCACCCGTATTCCTGAGAGTATCTTCACGCAGACTCTGTTGATTCAGGTTGACATGAGGTGTTTTATTTTCAGCTGTGACGGAGGGAGTCCGGCACGAGATTCGTTTCATCCGTGGTGAGGACGCAGTCTTGAGCTGTGCGGCGAAATCAAAGCCCGCGGTCCTGTACCGTTCGGTCACATGGTACAAGGTAAAGGTCAAAATTCGTATTTTTTTCTAGAACCTTGTGTTTTATCCTCACATATGAATGTTTTGTACTGGGTGTTTCAATAACCACTAAAACTTCTTTCTCAAAACCTATTTATCAAGTTTTTTTTCTTTCTGGATCTATTAGGCCTAAGCTATTCAAAAACACGTTAGAAATACAGTAGCCTGCCTACAAAGAGTCACTTGAATGCCTTGATGAACGTTTTCCATTTTTAATTTTGATAAAAAAAAATAAAAAAAACATTAAGTTTTGAAACAGATTTGTTTTAAAATATTCATATTTGAAAAACTTTTTTCAAAGTTTTTAAGTTGGCTACTTTTTGCTTTTATATTTTTGTAAGGATACTTATACAAATGTGTCCCTACATGTTTTAAGTTACTTGAGAGATGTATTGTTTCAAATGAAGTTGTCATTTAACTTTAAGCTAAACCTCTCTTCTGCAGGTGTCTGAAGAGCCTTCCCAGCTGTTAAGTGGACTTGTAAGGAAGAGACTAACTGAAAACAGTGGCGATGTGAAAAAATATAAAGATGTCAAACGAGAGGTCAAGCTACTTGAGAGCTCAATGAGCCTTCTTCTGTCTAATGTAACTGCAGAGGACAGTGGGATATACAAATGCTTTCTGTCTGCTCCCCTTGGCTATCAGAACCAAGAAGGCGAAATCGTTCTGAAGGTCGATGGTACGTTTATGTGGATTTATAATGGCCACAAAAAGTATTTGAACACTTACTTAAGTCACACTTAAAATATACAAAGTATTAGACACTTTTGTGGCTTTTAGAATTCGAATCAAGTTCACTGGGGTGTAAGTAGCCTACATCTTACCAAAGGTGTAGTTCATCTCAATGCAATAATATTCACACAATTTTAAGTGTGGCTTCCAAATACGTTTAAGGCCACTGTATGTACTGTATTCAGCAACTGTGAGCAATAGCTCACAAACTAACAATCTGATGTTCATGTGTGTTTTTTTTCTTTCTTTCTCATTTTTAGAGCGTGCTACAGTTGAGAAAATGGAATTTAATAAAAGTGATTCACTATATGTAGTTCTGGCTGTCACAGTACTCATTATGGCACTCCTGATGTTTTGCATAAGCTATGTAAGTAATATATATATATATATATAAGTATCTTTATACTTAGAGTAAAGATATTATGCATGTATTTTTAAGTTATTTACCAAAGGCATGTTTACCACAGGTTTGTTTAAGGAATGTATTCCAAAGCAACAAGAAGCTCTCTAAAGACTCTTTGGTGAAAATGCCACATCAAGGCAAGAACGTAATCATCACCAATCATTTGATTTGCAAGACCATGCCTGAAGTTTATGTGTGATGGTAACCAGAGTACATGGACTAGAGCTCAGTAGAAGTCAAACGTAGTTTTGCGCACAGGACATGGACAGTCCACAGAGCTTGTGCTGAAGTGGACCACTGGCAAGCACAGGAAATGGCAACCTACTTGCTAAGGTCAATATGCAAATGACAGATGCATGCACAAAGGTTTCAACATCATCACCACCTTTTGAAAATCTTTTCAAAACTGCATCTTTACAACTTGAAACAATGAGACCAAGAGAAAAATGGCTTTTTCTGTATTAAAATTGTGCATGCTTCATTATGGTTGCTTGTTGGTGAGTGTGAACACCATGGAAGTGAAGAAGGACTGACCCAAATACAGACCATGCTTGAATGTTATGCTCGGTGATCAATGTTATTGTCAGGCACACCTGTAGGTATTCTACCAAAGAAATTATATGATAGCAAAGTTCTCAATCTATAGATTATATAGAAGAAGAAAAAAACCTTTTAAATATATATATATATATATATATGTGTGTGTGTGTGTGTGTGTGTGTTTTGTTTGTTTCAATGTTGTCATTCTTATAGAAATACAAACAAAAAAACCTACCTCGTATAATGTGTTAATGTGAGTGTTAATGTTTAGTGAACAGAATAAAGTGGATAAAAAATGTAAACGTTATTGCTACAGTTTTGTTCTGTTAAGACTGCACATCTATGTTTTTTTTTATTTTTTATAAAAGACAAAATCTAAATATAATTTTGAAACTTAGAAAATGTACAGGTCACAAATAATGTATTTCTAGCATCACCTATAGGCTATTAGTTCAAGTGATTTTGTTATTGCCAGTAATATTTCATAAACTGGCTGGTGAAACTAATAACAGTTTAATTGAGTACAAATCTAAAATGTAATTTTCAATATTCTGGAATAAAATAATAGTTTTTTTTTCTGTTACTCATCTGAGCTATCATGTATATATGTTCATGTATCATGTATATATGTTTTGGTTTTCAAATTTTTAAATTCTAACTTTTTTTAAAAGGACCATCATCACATAAGTTTCATATGTTATGTCTATGATTAAAAAACAGCACTCAACAAGAGAAGAAATGACAAATGAACTTTGGAAGTAGCACGTGTTTTATGAACAAAGACAGAAAAAGACACAATGGCGCTCTCTGGTGGCTGAAAAACCACTACTTTCTAACATCTTTTACTACAAAGAACAAGAGCAGTTCATTGTTCATATATCACATCTGTTCACTACTAAAGGAAAACTTAAAAACATCCTCCATTGTTTGTATATCATTAGCTATATCAAAAGGCCCCTTTCAAGTAAAAAGTACACTTATTTTCTAAGGGGGTCCCTAGAAAAATGCTCCACTGTGAGATTGCTTGATTTATTCATCGATTAATTCAAACATCCTTATCTATTTCTTATTAGTTGGAATGTTCATTATTTATTTTCCCATCTTTCCTTTATTTTTCTGTTCTTGATGCAAGGTGGTGGAATCAATATCTTTTAATTAGAGGAACCAAACCAAACCACTGTGATTTGTCAGACAAACTCCTCAGGTTTTAACTTCAGTGGAGCTGTAAATTCAATAGTTTTAAATTTGCTCGAGCATAACCAGCCCTGTCTGCCCATTTATCAAGCTCACAAATGAGCTCACAAACCTGTGTGACATATCGTTACTATAAATTATACAAACACAGGACTTGTGGATGTTATTGATGGTGGTGATGACAGGGTTCCTCAGCCATCTGTCTGTAATAGTATAAGCATGCTTGAAAAGTAAAAAACAAGACAAACTGCTTTTCCATAACCACTGACCCACAACATAAGAAATGACTTTCACCTCAAACACTCAGTTAGAATTCTAGATCTTATTTTTTTCAAGGTCAAATGGAGTGTTTCATTTTTAAACTAATGTTGAGTCTGACATACTTTCATGGAACAGTAACACAATCCAAACCGTATTTTACATAATTCTCCAATGGAAATCTGGCACTATGCGAAATGCTAAAAGAAGTCCTCATGATTTACATATACCTTGACTTATAATCATCACTTACTGGATTTGATAATATGACTGGCTCTCAATCAAGTTATTCACCACACCAGTCATAGTTATGATATCAAATTGTTTGGCTGATTTTAGGTATATGTTAAGTAAAAAAAAAAAGAATTCTTATCCATGCAAGCACAGATGTGAAGGAGCGAGTAAACAGAAGTTTATAAATTATTCTTCTCTTTTCTCCTTTGCTATCCCCTTTATCTGGCTTTTTTCTAAAACATGCTTGAGTCAAAACAGTCACAA